ACAGTTAATTTCGGGTAAAATCAATGAAAATGGGGTATGCCGATAGCATAAAAATGAGATGTGAGAGCAAATCTGAGATCAGATTTGGAATCAGCACCCTGAAATTAGTCTAAAACAGCTGCAAAAGTCCAGGCTAGAAAAAGTGTTTTTTTTTTTGTTGACCAGTGTAATCAGACATGGTTGTATGTACTGCTGAATTGAAATGAAGGCTTCTCTCAAATCGTCGCCGTCGCCACACCACCGCCAGCACGTTGAACAGGATGTACCGCCACCACCACCATCATCATCATCAATCAGTGTCATCAGCAGTGTCGTCGCCAGTCGGCCCATCAGCGTGAAGCTATCGTACTTCACGCCGCCACCCTTCATTAGCGGGTTCGTCAATTACCAGCAGCATCAGTCATCATTATCTCGCCATCAGTAGGTGTCAATCATCAATCACCGTTATCTTCACGTGGATCGTAATTAGTCTGAAGCGATGCACGAAGAGCGCGCAAGCGCAAACGCAAAGACAAAGATCCCCCCCCAACGTATAGCCTTAGCAGGCTGTTAGGGCAAGTGTTGCTAGAGAGCGCCTATGAAGGCCGGCACAATACGCGAGGGGGTGATGTGGTCAAATCCACGCCCTGCTGCCTTTGTCTCCCGAGTGTTGATCTTAACACCAGGTACTCGTTTTTAGGCTGAGTCGACCTAGGGGAGGGCCAGTACCGGTTAGATATTCGTCACGTATGTTGGTGGCCTTGAGCGGAAACCGAACTCTGGTAGCCGGCTATCGTAGCACCCGAACGCACAAAGACAAAGATCCCCAGTATAGCCTTTAACAGACTGTTGGGGCAAGTGCTGTTGGCGAGCATCTATGAAGGCCGGAACGGTACGTGAGGGGGTGGGTGGCCAGCACCACGCATTTGTCTCCCCAGTAGCGACGTTTACACACCGCACCAGGTACCCATTTGAGACTGAGTCGACCTAGGGGAGGCCCAAGACCCAGATCTGATAATCTTCACCGGTGTTGGCCGTGAGCGGGAATCAAACCCGGCTCAGCGGGTTCGCAGCGCAGCGCTAACCGCTACACAACCGCTCCCCAAGGGAGATCACACACGCACACACACAACACGCACACACATTCCCCGAACAACGCCAAGTCAGCCGCTATGCCCTGCCACCGTAAGCACTCTCTCGTGGTAACACAAAAACACGCACGCGCCCACGCGGCGCTGGGTAATTGAAGGCCTTAGGAGCGGCTCCACTTCCACTAAGCCTCGGCATTAGCTCCGAGACCCGCCTTATAGACTCTGCTAGAAGCCCGTGAGATGTTTGCCTTTGTCACGCCAATGCCCTCCTATATTTGCATTTTTTCCCCCTTTGCGTTAAAAAAGCCCCCACCACCACCACCGCCGCCGCCGCCGCCCCTCCTTAGCTAACTATGATGTAATAATAGACACGCGCATGTGTGTGTGTAGTGTATATGAGATATATTCAGATGACCCGTGTGTTTGGCAGCGGGTTAAGGACCGCGTGGCTGTGTGTGCTTGGGTCTCGTTCTCTGCCTCGTCTCGATGCTATCCCGATCGTGCTGTCGGAGTCATTATCCGCAATATTTTGCTGTCTTTTCTTGGATTTTCTGTTTGCACTCAGTCACATATTCACTTGAAGATGTTTTGTGTTCATTTTTCTTTGTTTGTTGCGGTTGCACCCGATTCAAGAGCCGAGTGGCTCACAGGGCTGTACCTAATAAATGAACTTGAACTCGAAATCACGAGACGCGGCCACCCCTCGGATCTCATCTCTCGCAGATCAGCGAGAGGGCAGCGGAAGCGGATATCATTGAGCTACGATACGAGATCTTTTCAATTGGCCTTGTTTATATCTAAGCTTTGTGTACATATATATAAAGCTCGCATTAGATAAAGTGCTGAACTTGCTTACATCTTCCTGCTACAGAAACACACGCACGCACAAATGTTTTGGCACGGCAGTCAAAACTAAAATCCGTATTTCTCAGAAGTGGAATTTTGCCAAATGAAGTGGAAACCTCGTAATTTAACGTGATGGATTTGTGCGCGCGTGCGTGCGTGAGTGAGTGCAGTCATTGGTGATCGGGACGAGGCAATTAACTCGCTACACTTGCGGGGACGGTTTAATCGCGGCTGGGTGGCTGAAACTTCGATTTCAACTCAGCTTCTCAACCATCTGGTGGGTGCGCGTGTAATGACGTGGCACTCTTTTGCTATCCGTTTGCGTTGTTCCGCCGGTGATTATATTATCCAATTTCACCTTAATTCTGAACTTGACTCGAAGCGGCCACGAATTTCGATTTAAAGCTTTCGTGACTGCAGGGATTCATCTTCTTGGTTCTTTCGGTAAAGTATTTCCGACAGACCTGTTCTTCACCTGAGGACGGCTGCTTGCGTTGTGGCCGAAACGTCGTGAGAATTGTATTTTATTATGTTTTATTTTTATTATTTATTATATCCCTTCTACGTGACTTTACCGAAAGAACCAAGAAGACGGCCACGAATTCTTTTGGCATTCGGTGGTCTGCGTTCAGAATCTTGACGGGGTGCTGATGGGGGGGGGGCGTGAGGGGGAGGGGTGGCGATGGGGGATTCGAGAGGCGAACCAATAGCCAAAGCGATCTAAGCAGCGTTCAGCCCTCGATAATTGACGCTCACCATACACCAGTGCCGCCAAAATGCATTATTGTTGTACTCTACTATGCTCCACCGTCTAGCCCCCTCCCCCCCATTTCCACCTCCTCCTCCTGCTGCCCCCACCCCGTTCCATCCGAATTCCCTCCAACTGCAGAGCTGGTACTGCTGATGGGAACCCATAAAGTCGAAACCAGCCCGAAAGTATTGTTGTTGTTGTTGTTCTGTTTATAAACGAAATGCCGCACTAACACACGTGTCCAAATAGGGCGACGGACACGTGGTTTTTATTTATTTATTTTCTTATTTTGGAAAGGCTGACCTGTGCCCGTTGTGTGACTCCACGTGGCATGATTCGCCCACGTGGCATGATTCGCCCACGTGGCATGATTCGCCCACGTGGCATGATTCGCCCACGTGGCATGATTCGCCCACGTGGCATGATTCGCCCACGTGGCATGATTCGCCCACGTGGCATGATTCGCCCACGTGCATGATTCGCCACGTGGCGTGGCATGATTCGCCCACGTGGCATGATTCGCCCACGTGGCATGATTCGCCCACGTGGCATGATTCGCCCACGTGGCATGATTCGCCCACGTGGCATGATTCGCCCACGTGGCATGATTCGCCCACGTGGCATGATTCGCCCACGTGGCATGATTCGCCCACGTGGCATGATTCGCCCACGTGGCATGATTCGCCCACGTGGCATGATTCGCCCACGTGGCATGATTCGCCCACGTGGCATGATTCGCCCACGTGGCATGATTCGCCCACGTGGCATGATTCGCCCACGTGGCATGATTCGCCCACGTGGCATGATTCGCCCACGTGGCATGATTCGCCCACGTGGCATGATTCGCCCACGTGGCATGATTCGCCCACGTGGCATGATTCGCCCACGTGGCATGATTCGCCCACGTGGCATGATTCGCCCACGTGGCATGATTCGCCCACGTGGCATGATTCGCCCACGTGGCATGATTCGCCCACGTGGCCCAGCGCCACGTCCGTGATCTTCCCGGTTTGAAAATATAAACGTCGACGCTGCCCCGTTGTTTACTCGTGTGTCACAGGTCGACGTTTCTAGCAATGGCCCTTCCTCAGAGCAGACCAGAGAACAGCAGGTGGGTTCACCGTCTCAAAAGATCAGCCGAGGATATGTGCTTTTTTATCTCTTATGTTGAAATGTCGTGATGCGGTGCGTGCATAGGTGGACTTTGTCAATCCACTGCTGCATGACGATCTCCCCGAGTTGAAGTCGGTCGTAGGGCTTGTTTGACCATACTTCACCACGTTGGTCAAATGCGGGTTAGCGAGGAGGGAGAGGGGGGGGAATCATTCGCTGCACCGCTCTCACTCACTGTAAGGCAGAATGAATGACAAATGTGGTTAATATATATATTTTTTCTTCTTTAATTTGTGCTTTGTGTCCAACTGCCAACGCAGTTCCTTCTTTATATATCCCCCGCCCCACCCCCGTGACAATGAAGTTGCAAGTCAGCTGTAAGATGACAAGACGTCGCGTCGGCTAACGAAACGCAAAGAAGAAGAAGCGAGCCGGCTGCTGACGACTACTTGCCTCGCGAAAACTAACTCCGAATCGACGAGGAGAAGCCGTGCGCGCCCGTGTCAATCCTCGAATCGCACCCACGCACAACCCCCCCCCCCCCCCAGCACGGGACGCACAAATTGAAAGCGCCGCGCTCCGCACGATCGCGCGATCCGACGACTTTCCGTGAAAAGCGCCCGTCGAGGTTGGTGGTACGGGGAGGGGTGTGGGGGGATTATGTCTGTCTCGCGATGCCCCTCGCTACGTCTCCTCCATCCCTTGTCTTTAGCGATGGAGCAAGCCGCCTCTTCATCCCCATCCCCCCACCCACCCACCCGCACGCTTCGCCCGATCGGGGTTCTTTTGCAGAACGCGTCCACTGCTCTTGCCCCAATAATTGCGGGCGAGGCCGTGGTGGGAGTGTGTGTGGGGGGGGGGGGGGGATTCGGGGGGGGGGGGGGTCACGGTGGAGGAGGGGGTGCGAACATCTTTACTAATCCACCGCCCACCCCCCCAAAAATAAATACCCCCCCCACCCCCACCCCACCCCCACCCCCTGCCCACTCACCCCGCCCCCACACCGACTCGTGTCTTCCATCCGCCGCGCAGTGCACGCGGTGCACTGCCCAGAGTTTGTTGCGAGCGCGGCAATAAATAAATAAATATTCACAACCCACCCCCCCAACCCCTCCCCGCTTGCCCCCCTCTCTCTCTGTGTGCGCCTCTTCAATGGCACACCCCAATAGAAGGCAATCAGGGAAAGCCATTCGAGCCGCCGTCTAACCTCCACCCCCCCCCCCCCACTGGCTCGGCTTCAGAGGCATCGATGAGTGGCCCCTCTTAGCACCCCCCTCCCCCCCGGTGTTTGTGCGATGCAGCATCCCACGCAGAGTTGTTGTCGTTGTTGACGATGTTGTTTTGTTGGTCTGCCTCTTGAGTTGCAATCTGGACAACTTGAGGTTGCCTCGTGTGTGTGGGGGGAGGGGTGGGTGCGAATTTGATTGGCTGAGTGTATGTGGGACTGTGTGTGTTTGTGGGTCTGAGTGTGTGCCTGTGTGTGTGTGTGGGTCTGAGTGTGTGTGTGTGGGGCTGAGCGTGTGTGTGTGTGGGTCTGAGTGTGTGTGGGGCTGAGTGTGTGTCTGTGTCTGAGTATGTGTGGGTCTGAGTGTGTGTGTGTGGGGCTGAGTGTGTGTGTGTGTGGGGCTGAGTGTGTGTGTGTGTGGGTCTGAGTGTGTGTGTATGTGTCTGAGTATGTGTGGGTCTGAGTGTGTGTGTGGGTCTGAGTGTGTGTGTGTATGTGTCTGAGTATGTGTGGGTCTAAGTGTGTGTGTGTGGGTATTTGTCTTTGTGTGTTGTCGTGACCTCCTTGGCAGCAGCGAACCTTCCACACTTCACGTGATGGCCTCAAGGTGCACCTATCCTGGCACGAGCGCCGTGGTGACATCACCGCCACTGAGTAACGAATATCGGTTGTCGAGTTGGTGTGCGTTTGTTGATGTGTATCTGTGCGTGTGTTGTCTATGCATGCGTATGTGTGTGCGTCTATGGATCTGCGTGTGTGTGAATGTGTGTCAGTACGTGTGTGTCTGTGCGTGTCAGTGTGCGTGCCAGTAGACATGTTTGATGGTCGTCTGGAGTGGATATTGCGGGATAAAGCGCACGCGTTGATCCCTCTACTGATATCTGTACATTCGACACGCCGTCCACATGCACAGTTTCATCATCATCATCACCACCAAAGACAAAGATCTCCCCATATAGCCTTAACAGACTGTTGGGGCAAGTGCTGTTAGCGCGTGCCAGCATCTATGCAGGCGGACACGACACACTAGGGGATGGGTGGCCAGCATCACGCCCGACCGCCTTTGTCTCCCCAGTGGCGATGTTTTCACACCGCACCAGGTACTCGCTCGAGGCAGAGTCGACGTACGGGGTGGAGGAGGAGGCGGCCCAGGACCGGTTCAAATAATCGTCACCGGTGTTGGCCGTGAGCGGGAATCGAACTCGGGTCGCCGGGTTTCGTAGGGCAGCATAGTGCTGACCCAATACACCACCATCACCGTCATCACCATCATTGTCGTTGTGGATGTCGTTGTTGTTGTTGTTGTCAGTAGCGTGGTTGTGATGGGTCCTGGTGCAAAGATTCAAACGCCCCCCCCACCCAGTCCAAGCCCCCCACCCCCCGGCGCAATTGCACCGCTGCACACTCGATAGCTACGCCGCTCGGCTGTTCCTGCTGCTGCTGTTCCTGCTGCTGCTGTTCCTGCTGCTGCTGCTCGTCGTGTTTCATTCGCTTCAACTCTTCACCGACTCGGGAAATCACCCACCGAGACTCTCTATCTCTCGTTCGCGAGGGTCCCGCGACGGAGACGTTTTGGGGGTCTGGGGGGGAGGGCAAGTCCCTTTAACGGAGTTTTGTTTTTGTGTTTAACGTTGGCGACTGTTTGTTGCGTCGATTTTGCACGGAGGGGGGAGGAGGAAGCCCATGCGCACGAGGGGTACAAACAGCCGATGTCAGCCAACGATTACGACGATGTCCAACAACCACGTGGCGGCTGGCGACGCAGTCAGCCGGGGGTGGGGGGGGGGCGGGGGGGCGTTGTAATGATCTCAGTCAGGAGATCGCAGTTGGTGGGTCGAGTCAGCCCATCATCACCATCATCGTCATCATCATCCACCGAGGGTCGATAAAGTGCGGAACCAGTTTGTAGACAGTCGCAGTGAGTGGGTCGAGTCAGCCCATCATCACCATCATCGTCATCATCATCCACCGAGGGTCGATAAAGTGAGTAACCAGTTTGTAGACAGTCGACAGTGGGTGGGTCGAGTCAGCCCATCATCACCATCATCGTCATCATCATCCACCGAGGGTCGATAAAGTGAGTAACCAGTTTGTAGACAGTCGACAGTGAGTGGGTCGAGTCAGCCCATCATCATCATCCACCGAGGGTCGATAAAGTGAGTAACCAGTTTGTAGACAGTCGCAGTGGGTGGTCGAGTCAACCCATCATCACCATCCACCGAGGGTCGATAAATTGAGGAACCAGTTTGTAGACAGTCGACAGTGGTGTGGCTCGCCGATGGCCTGGCCCTCGGCATTGGAGCGTGGAATTTCCACCACCGAGTCAGACCCGCCAACGAGTGCGAGCGTCCAACGCTCACCCCAGCGTAGCGACCCTGGGGCCATCACCTCCTTCCTTCTGCCAGTTCCATCTCTATTGTGCAGTCGATACCAGTGGCGAATTCAATTTCGTAAATTTATGATTTGTTTCTTTGTTTCATGGAACCGCCGTGGCTTCTCCAAGGCGTTGAACACGCGATCAGTAACTCACATCTCTTCTCATTCGGAGGCCCCCTACTAGCGGCAGCTGCCCCTGTGCGGCACGAATGTGACTCAGCACCTCGCCTGCAAAGCGGGCATTTAGTCTGTGCCAGTAGGGGCATCAACATCACCATCACCACCATCGTCATCATCGCCATCACTATCATCATCATCGCCATCATCGCCAGCACCATCATCGCCAGCACTATCATCATCATCAGCATCATCACCATCGTTATCACCACAATCGTCATCATCGCCATCACTATCATCCTCATCGATAAAGTGAGTAACTATCATCATCATCACTACCACTTTCAACATCAACACCATCATCATGACCCCACCGTCATCACCACCATCATCATCACCACCACCACCATCATCACCACCACCACCACCATCATCATCAGAACCACCACCACCATCATTACCTATCACCACCACCATCACTACCACCATCACCACCACCATCATCACCACCACCATCATCATCACCACCACCATTATCATCATCATCACAACCACCATCATTATCACCACCATCATCATCACCATCACCACTATTATCATCATCACCACCACCACCATCATCAACACCATCATCACCACCATCATCACCACCATCATCACCACCACCACCATCATCACCACCACCACCAATATCGGACTCCTCCGCTTTAGCAGCACACTCGGACCGTGTGTCTCTCTCTTTCTCGGCTCTCCTCTCTCCCCGGCCCACTCACAGGAAGGGCACGAACGCCCTCTCCTCCACCAGGCTGATGGACAGGTTCCTCAGCTCGTCGGCCGACTCCACGGCCCTGTACCCCAGCTGCGCCAGGGTGTCGTTGCACGCCTCCTGCACGTAGCGGGCGATGTCGTAGCTGAGGCTGAGCCTCCATCCCTCGGCGGCGGCGGCCGAGTCGCGACTCGTCGAGTATTTGTAGCGGCCCAGCTGATTGTCGCCGCGCGTGTTGCTCATCACCCAGCCCGTCACCGCCTTGCCCATGGGGATGCCGGCGAAGCGGTAAATGTCCGCCGCCTTGCCCAGCGGGTCGCGCGCCAGGTCCTCGTATCGGACGAGGAGGTAGCGGCCGCGCAGCCAACGTGGCCTCGACATCCCCGTGCGCGCCGAGCGCACGAAGTCGTCGCACGTGGCCGTGATCTGCCCCGCGTCCAGTCGGTAGGGCATGCGGCCCGTGGCGTTCCAGATCTTCCACGCCTTGAAGGTCTCGGTGAAGGTGAGCATGCGCGACGCGAGCACGGCGCGGGGGTCGCGCACGAGGTGGACGATCTTGAGGTCGAGGCGCGGGTCGTCGGCCATGAGGCGCAAGGTCGCGCACCTCGGGGATGCGCACCGTCTTGATGGCCACGTGCGGCCGCGCGTGGCAGGCGCGCGTCGCCAGCGTCACGTTGAGCGGCCCGCAGGAGCGCAGGCAGCGCTGCTCCTCCGGCTCCGAGGATGACGACGACGACGATGAAGAAGATGACGCGGAAGAGGGCGGCGAGAAGAAGGATGATGACGACGAGGATGATATTAATGATGATGATGGCAATGATGACCGCCGCCGATGATGACGATGACGACGACGACGTCGTCGGGGTGTCGCCGCACACGGGCGGGCTGCAGAGCGCGTTGCTCGCTCCCCGTCGGAAGAGGCGCGCCGTTTCAGTGGTCCCGCGGCGCGGGCCTGATGTAGTTCTCCAGGAAGTAGAGGTCGCAGTCGAAGAGGTTACGCAGCAGGTCGCGGTAGGCGCCGAGCAGCGAGCGCCTGTCTACCGCGTGGCGGAAGCGCAGCCCCGTGTCTACGAAAGGTGGCCTGCACGTGGTAGAGGGGCTCGAACAGGTAGAACACCTCCGGGTTCTGGTTGAACAGCTGGCCCATGAACGAGGAGCCGCTGCGCGTCGTGGCGAAGATGAGGATGTGCTTGCGCTTCGGAGCCGTCCGTCGCGGCCGTCTCCACGACCTTCGCCACCTTAGCCAACTCGGAGGGCCTCGCTCGGGAATCCCCTCCCATTCCTCCGGTGCCGGCGATGGCACCGCCGGCACCAGCGGTCCCTTTAGCTGCCGCGGCCGCCGATGCCGCTGCCTGCGCCGCGCACCCGGAGAGGCGCGGCATCCTGCCGAAGGTGAAGAAGCAGCGGGGAGGCGCGTCGGACACGTCGCACATGTAGAAGCCGTAGGTGCGGATGGTTCTGATGGCCGTGTACTGGATGCCGAGAGAAGCGCACACCACGAAGACGACCACCTTCCACGAGCACGCCATGGCCGGGCTCTGCGCCTGTCCATAGGGGCGAGGCGCCTGCACGCACGCGGACACACATGCGGGGACACGCGGACACACACACACGCGGACACACACACACCGCAGGTACTCATTTCAGGCTGAGTCGACCTAGGGGAGGCCCAGGAAAGGCTCAGATCATCGTCACCGGTGTTGGCCGTGAGCGGGAATCGAACCCGGGTCGCCAGGTTCGTAGCGCAGCGTAGCGCTAACCGCTACACTACCACATGCACACATGCACACAAAGACAAAGATCCCCCGTATAGCCTTAACAGACTGTAGGGGCAAGTGCTGTTAGCGAGCACCTATGAAGGCCCGAACGGTACACGACGAGGGGGTGGGTGACCAGCACCACGCCCGACCGCCTTTGTCTCCCCAGTGGCGATGTTTACACACCGCACCAGGTACTCATTTGAGGCTGAGTCGACCTATCTCTGTACAGATGCAAACGAGTGGCGATAGGTCCACTTGCTGTACTGCCTTCTCTTGGCGAGCCAGGGTATGGCGTCTCCTCCTCGACGCCTACGGGAAGGGAGTTTCACAGCATTCGCGTGGTGACCCACCAACCCTCGCTGCTGCCTCCACAGCGCTGCATTACAGCGGTCACGTGGTTAGCGACCAGAACCCGCTTCGTGAAAAGCAAATTGTACGAGTCATTGGAATAGCCCAGCCTCGATATAGATGAATATATTAATATTCAGGGTGCTTCGAAACAATGTTAACACTCACATGGGACTCTCGTTTTTCGTGGACAAGGACGGATAATGCACCGTAACGTGATAACAAATTAAATGTTTAGAGCTTCAAAAAGTCAAAGTCTCCACTTGTTCACCATCATTGTCAACGGAATCTTGGAATCTTCTCCAGGTGGTCTCCAGAGCCCGGGGGCACGTTTCTTGTGTTGATTGTTGCAAATTCTCGGAAGTGTTCACATTTCTTTGTAGCACCCTGTGTATATCTACCCACAGTGACGAGATGTTAACACCCTCGCCTGGTATGCAGGAGGTCGTGCCTTTGAGTCTGACACTGACGGCTACTGCTGTAGTTTATTTGGAGTTTGCGTGTCTCTCTCTCTCTCTCTGCGGTCGCGTGGATTTTCTTCTCCCTCCACATTTAGAATCAACATCACGCATTTCAAGTATTTGCCCGCTGTGCATTTCTACGTGGTAAGCCACTTCGTTGAGCTTATCATTAGTGGCCAGGTCGCTTCTGACAAAGAGCTGCATGGCTCAGTGGGGCCTTACCTGCTGAAATTTAAATGTTTTAATTACGAATACATCTACGCAGAACGTCTATCGCACCGCACGCAGCCAACCGCACTACGCGGAGGTGCGGGGGAAGGACAACAAAATAAAACAACAACAACGAGCAGTTCTGAATAAATTACTTTTCAATCTAGATTTAAAAGTGCATAGCTCCAGTGCCTTCCTTAATATCGGGATTGAACACCCACGCGCACTGGCGCTGTGCAGAAGAAGTGCCTATAAATGTCGCCCGTTGTTGTTCCGTAATAGCACTCGACACGGACCCAGAGTGTGATGAGTTGGCAACCTTTACCGGGCCGCACAGATCGCTCCGGCGTGTGGCGCTGCTGTCAGAACGGGTTGACATTATAGCTTGGCCAAGATACTTCAATTCCACCGTTGAACCTCGGCGTTGGCTCTACCCCCCCTCCTCCCCACTGCCTCCCATCCCCCTCCTCCCTCCCTCCACCCACCTAGACTCCCTCCCCCACGCTCCCCACCTCGTCCTCCGTAACCCAAAGGCCACGCCAGCTCGAATGTGTCAGAGATTGTGTCAGAGCGGTCCGTGCCGCGTCTCCTCCTCATAAGAACGCAGAGGAATTGAAATCGATGAGTCGGTGACTCCGCGCGTTAGACGACAACTCTCCCGGGTCTCAGGCGCGTGAGATGTATGGAGGGGGGAGGTGGGGGGGGGGCATGTGAACGCGGTGTTGGAGAATTTGATTGGGGGGGGGGGTGTCTGGGATGGAGTGTGCGTGTGTGTACGTGTGTGTAGTGGGGAGCGGTGGTGCGGCGGTTAGCGCGCCGCGCTACAAACTCGGCGACCTGAGTTCGATTCCCACACATGATTCCCGCGCACGGCCAACGCCAGTGACGATTATCTGAACTAGGTCGACTCGGCCTCAAATGAGTACCTGGTTCCGGTGGTGTGTAGTAAACATCGCCACTGGGGAGACAAAGGCGGTCGGGCGTGGTGCTGGCCACCTACCCCCTCGTGTGCCGTGCCAGCCTTTATAGGTGATCGCTAACAGCACTTGCCCCAACAGTCCGTTCAGGCTATACGGTGGACCTTTGTATTTGTGACGGGGGTGGGGGCATGTATCCCCCTTTCCTCAATCTCATCATCATCATAATCAAGCCTTCGGTCATCTTTGTTACACAGGCGGCAACTACAATGGTGCAGCGGCAAGCCCAGGGAGGTAAAGCAGCCTCGGGTACATCCCCCGCGGAGATGGAGCGACGAAATCGGCTCGCGGGCAGCTGCCCAAGCGGACTGTGACAACGCAGAGATCGTGCGTGATGAGGGAAGCGGCCTGGTGGCTCGGCGGTTCAGAGCACCGAAGCCGGCCTTGTCGAGGACCGACGTTAGAATCCGGGTCTCGGCCGCGACTATTGTGATTGACGAGGATTGTCCAGGAGTGGCGACGAGTTGATGCTCTCGTCATGGTCACCAATAACCGCGCGCACGCACACACACACACACGTACCAAAAACAAACAAAATAATTCGCATTAAATTAGAGGGTTCGTTTTGACTGCCATGCGACGTACGTGTTTTTTTTCGTATGCCAGGAAAGTGTTATAAAACGTAGCACTCTGTCTATAATGTGTGGATTTCAAAAAAGAAAGGGCAATTGACGAGACTGCAGAGGTAGTTCTCTAATATACACTTCCACTGACCGTGGTCTAACACGGTGCGGGGGGTGCGGGATGGGGGGCGATGCTTTGCCCACTAAACACGTGTCAGCCTGTCACAACGTCGAGATTAGGCTGGCTTTAGAGACTTTTACAGACATCGCGTAACATCTCCTTATTGATGATAATGGGGCGTTTATCGTAATCGCACTTTTTTTTCTGAAGCGGGCAGAGAGAGAGGAGAGAGAGAGAGGAAACGTGAGAAAGAAAGAGAGAGAGAGAGAGAGAAAATCAGCAGATTCTGTGCGAATTGTGAACCTATTACTTGCACGAGATGGATTTTACGAATTTCATCGCTGTTTCTGGTCACCGCTTGCGAAGATGTGGCCTCTAATTACACGAGCCATAATCTCATGCGGAAGGGGGCTGTTATCCCTAAATGTTGGCGTATTGCATTTTCTTTTTTTCCAATTACAAAGCAGCGGCAGCAGCAGCAGCAGAGTTGATGACTGCCGCAGTGAACAATTCTTTTTTTAACGGCCAGTAAATCATTTGCTGTGCGGGAGCGGTGGCGCAGCGGTTAGCGCACTGCGCTATTATCGAAACTGCGGCGGGATGAGTTCCTTAATTTGAATCCGACTAACATCGCTTGAGATTAATTTCTGAACAAATCATTGGGTCCACAAATATATATAGTTTCCCTAAATATAGCTGCCTAAATATATATATAAAAACGTGCACTTGGGACACCATGGCCGCGAATTGGAGGAGTTACATCCGATTCGTGGGGGATAGGGGGTGATGTGGGGGTTAGGAGGTAGGGGGGTGTGGATGGTGGGAAGATGATAGGGCAGGGTGGGTGGGATTAGTGGGTAGAGGGGGTGTACGGATGTGGGGGTTAGGGGGTAGGAGTATGTACGGATGGGAGGGGGATAGGAGGTAGGGGGAGGTGGGGTAAGGGGGTAGGAGCGTGTGGATGGTGGGAAGATGATAGGGCAGGGTGGGTGGGGTTAGTGGGTAGAGGGGGTGTACGGATGTGGGGGTTAGGGGGTAGGAGTATGTACGGATGGGAGGGGGATAGGAGGTAGGGGGAGGTGGGGTTAGGGGGTAGGAGCGTGTGGATGGTGGAAGATGATAGGGCAGGGTGGGTGGGGTTAGTGGGTAGAGGGGGTGTACGGATGTGGGGGTTAGGGGGTAGGAGGATGTACGGATGGGAGGGGGATAGGAGGTATGGGGAGGTGGGGTTAGGGGGTAGGGGGGTGTGGATGGGGGGGGGTCAGGGTAGTCTACGACGCGCTCGCAGTCAGTTCACGCGATGGATGTCATCGTAATAAGATTAATAGACGCCTTTGGTCCCTCGAGCGAGGGCTCAATGCATTTAAGAGTCAATTAATTAAGGCGGCCTAGACCCCCAGGGTGGGGGTGGGGGGTGGGGAGTCGGGGTGGGGGTTGAAATGTGTGAGTGGGGTGGGGGTGGCATGTATGCATGTTGAACTTCATATTCTTGGTTCTTTCGGTAAAGTCACGTAGAAGGGAAATAATAAAGTAATAAAAATAAAACATAATAGAAAAAATTCTCACGACGTTTCGGCTACAACGCAAGCAGCCGTCCTCATGTGAAGAACAGGGCTGTCAGAAGAAAGACAGCCCTGTTATTCAGTCACGAAAGCTTTAAATCGAGAAATGTTGAACTTCCTTCACACCGTACGTAGCCAACCGGAGGCATATGACGCCTAAGCAATTGGCTCCTGCCCCAGGTATGGCTATACCCAACCACAGAGCTCGCTGATGAGTTCCAATATTGGTGATGCCCGTTCGCGTATTTCCCGGTTTGGGTCTAGCCCCCCTCCATGCTTGCTCCTCCGGGTTTGATGGCCACGTGGTGTTTGTTTTTTGTAAAACCTGATTTGCTTCGTGACTCGGTGCATTGTGGGTAACGCACGCGTACGTCACACGTTGTTGTGAATCCACTGCTGGATGAGTATCGCACTGTGCGTCGTGCGGGTTCATGGAGGGGGGGAAGTTATTCGACCATACTTCACCTCGCTAGTCAATGCGGGTTAGTGAAGGTGGGGTTACCACCATTGGAACGTCATTTGCCAGTAGCAAAATATAACAATTGTTTTTTTACCCTTTTATC